GGACTGCCTTGTCTGCGCTCCGCCGCTGCCTTGCTGCCTGTTCCGCTTGCTTAGCAGGTCGTTCTTGGCAAGCTGCTGTCATCACTGTGTGGTGTGGTTGTGTTGTTGGTGTTGCCTTGCGCTTCGCTGCTCTACTGCCTTGCCCCCCCTTCCGCTGCCCGTGCCTTCCGTGTCCTTCGCTTGCGCACGTTGTTGGTTCAGTTGCCTTGTTGGTGTTGCCTTGTGCTTCACTGCATGGTTGCTCTGCTGTTCATCTGTTTGCTCTGTCGTCCCTTGTAGTGTGGTTGCCTTGGTGGTGTTGCCTTGTGCTTCACTGGGTGGCTGCAGCGCTGCATGTGCTGCGTGCCATGTCGTTCCTTGCAGTCGTTTTTGGCGTTGTGCATCCCTGTTGCCTCCACTGCATCGTCTGGTGCTCCGCCGGGTTGCCGCCCGCTGCTATGTTTCGCTAGGGGACAGTTTGCCTTCAACAAGAGTCAAAGGGTGCATGACCCAAACCATCAATACGGGCATATTCCTCTGATTGTCGAGGGTTCAGCCTCCTGACGAGTCGGTACAACTCCAACGAAACAATCATTCAGCAGTTTCATTTTCTTCAGCCCTTGAAATTTCCAGGACTCGTATGTTTTTTTCTCATTTGCCTGATTTGTGTGCTTGGGTGTCATCTGCCCTCCCGCCTCCCCCGTGCGTTCCATCGCTTGTTCTTTCCTGTTGTCTGGTGCCCACCCACCTCACCCATGCCCTCCAGCCTTTGTCCCTTCCTTTGTCGTTGTTGTTACTTGTCATGCTTTGCCTTGTCGCTCCATGCCCTTCCCTCATTGCATTGAGCTGTTTGTTTGTCCTCCTGCCCCGTCTCTCCCATGCCCTCCAGCTTTTGTCCCTTCCTTTGTCGTTGTTCTTGCTTGTCATCCTTTGCCTTGCCACTCCACGCCCTTCCTTCATTGCATTGAGCTGTTTGTTTGCCCTCCCGCCTCCCCCTTTCCAACCTTTTCCCGTTGTTGTTACTTGTTGTTCTTTGCCTTGTCGCCTCACGCCCTGAGCCTTGTTCCCTCACTGTGCCCTCCAACCCACGTGCGCTGCTATCATTTGGTCTTTGTCGTTTGTTTCGAGTCTTCACATGTTTTGGCTTGTTTTGTCTGGCCACTGGATCTGACATGTGCTGCTAGCACCTTTTTGCCACCTGAGACGCACTCCACCCTCTGTGTCGTGCCGAAGCCGTTTAGCTTTGGGGATTTGGTGGTGCAGTTTTGTGCCATAACGCGCTGCAGAGCAGCGCCATACACACGTTACACACACACACACACACACACACACACACACGTGCACACAAAATCATCTAAACAGTCTGTGTTTGGAGTGCCTGTAACACTATTCAGGGGGCAACTCTGTTTGTGATGTCTGTGGTGCATACGGTCTATGGGAGATGATAGTCGGGCGTTGGAGTGGCTTCCAGCCTCAGCAGGTTGTGGGAAACTACAGTTTGCGGGTTCTGCTTGTGGTGTGCGCAGGTGATGAACTGCTTTGGTCCATGTCGGATGTGTCGACTTCCTTGTCTGTAGTCCTACCTGCCTTGCTGCTCATCCCACTTCCCATGTCTTTTACCTGCAGCCGGTTTGTTTTTCGTGTAGTTGGCTGCCCTGTCGGTGTTGCGTTGTGCTTTGCCGCAGTGTTGCCTTGATGCACATCTGTGTGTCTTGTCTTTCCATGCAGTGCGCTTGTCTGTTGTGCAGTGGGCTGCTTTGTTAGTGCTCCCTTGTGCTTCGCTGCGCTGCTGCCTAACTGCCCATCCGCTTGCCTTGCCTTGTGTTTCCATGACGCATACCTGTTCCCCTTGTAGTTTGGCTGCTGCTTTGTTGTGTTGCTGCTTGTGCTGCAGGCTGTCCGCTATCATCAACAGGGGTTAAAGGGATTATGACTCAAAGCATCAAATATGGGGATACCGGAGATTGTCGAGGGGTTCAGCCTCCTGATGAGTTGGTGCAACTCAGACAAAATGCTCTCCATGAGTTTTATTATTTCTTTTTTTTTGGCTCTTTGTTTGTTCTGGTACTAGAACTTTTATTGTCTCTGATTTTTGCCCTGTTGCCTTTTGGCTCACCGCCTTTTCGTCCACTGCCTTGTGCTGTTTGTTTGCCCACCCTCCTCCCCCGTGCCCTTTTTTTTTTTTTTTTTTTTTTTTCGGTGCCCTTTTGATGGTAATATCTCAAGGTCGTTGCCCTTTTGATGTGTGGACAGTCAAGGCCTTCAATTTTGAGAGCGGGCCACTGTGGACTTCTCCGCGAATAGATCGGGGCTGTGTAAAAAGGCACACTCTCCATGCATGCATCTATCAGCCACGCATACACGTGAGTCCTTTTCACTGAAACATTAAAAAGCATACCGCAAAAAGGAAAAGCACATTTACTGTCCTTCCCAGGCCCCTTTCTTTCTTCTTGCTTTACGTTCTTCCTGCATGTGATTTCTTGGAACTTGCCTCTCAAATACACTCCTGAGTACTGAATCTACTGATGGATTAGGGAGCTCACTCAGTGCAGGCAGCAAAGCAGCGCAGAGCAAGAACAGAAACCCAGAAGAAAAGAGAAGGGAAGAAAATGCACACCAAAACTTTTTGTTGTTCTTTCTTCTCCTTGTTTTCTTTCCCTTGGTGCACAACAAATAAAGACGATTGCCGCTTATTGCAAGCAAAACTTAAAGATCACAGTCGAATTTTAACTGGCAGCAACCACCAGGGCAATACAACTTGTGCCACCATCACCATAGGGATTCACGGAAAACAAGGAATGTCACCTCCGTCCATGGGGCTTAATGCAATTAAAACGAAGAAGAAGAAGATGAAGAAGAGAGAGAGAGAGAGAGAGAGAGAGAGAGAGAGA